GAACAGGTTAGGTACCCTTTCTCGTGAGTTCCAAGAGGTAGGGTATTTAAAAACCTCCAATATTTGGTTTCCTTTACCTATTGTATCCAATAGACTACCACGCTACTTGCTTTTCGCGGCTCCAGTCAAGCTGACGGCAACGAGCGTCCAAAAGGCGAAGCTTTCTAGTGAAAACCTTCGACCAATCGGCACTTGTGCATTACAATGGTGTAAGGCGTCGTAGATAAGGCATGAAGTTATGGAGTAAAATTTAAAAACATAACCTTGGAAGTGATAACCAAATTTACTGGAAAGGCGAACACAAACTTGGAGTTCCAGTAGAAGTCAGTGTCTAAAGAACGAGGTAACTCAGAAACAGCAGAGAAAAGTTCAAGGAGAGTAACAAAAATCACACTTCTCTTGGGCATGTAAAGCATACCGTGCTTATTCGTAATATCGCGTAATCGCCGACCCGCAACTAGATTAGCGTCTTCGCGGCGCGGCCAATTGAACGAGAATAAGCGATTGTACAAAGGACAGACACCAACGCCAGCGCCGTCTGCTAGGCTGCTCCGTCATGCACATCTCAAGCGTGACGTAGACGACGCTCGCGATGGCGTGTGCACCCTACGTACACGACTACTCTTGTCGATTTTCGCCGATTCACGCCCTGATAAGGCGCCTGTGTAGTGGCCCCTCTGCGCACGCGTGATGTTGTGGAGGAAAATGGAGAGGCTGCACGTCAAAAGGAGCGCCTCCATGAGAGCGGTGTCGTCTTCTTTGTCATTTATAAGTTGAAGTAAGTGAGCAGTATTTAAACTTTTAACTACCGTATTAGCACACTGTAATTCCTCGCAATCCCTGTAATCTGTAGCGATCATATTGGTGCTTATGTGTAAAAAAGTAGAGTAAAAAAACAAACAACGTACAGGTATATATATATTTACATATGTACAAAGCGCCGTAACTTTAGCTACGAGGTGCAGCAGATCGGGAATAACGCAGAAAGCTAGTCAGGAGATGAGCGTGAACAACAAAATAATGAGGAACAACAAAGTAAATGGCGAATAATCCTCTAATTTTTATGACGCCAGACGGCCCTGGTATCTCGGGTACGCACTGCAGAAAGCTGCGCGAACTTCCGTTCCCACAATTGTCTTGTAAAAAAAAAAGACTTATTTTTAAAATTTAAGTTTCATCAATGTAATTCTATATTGCGCCAGAAGGTAGGGTGGTGGCGGTGCTTGTCGTAAAAAAACAATCACGCGATTAGCCTACTTGTATCACGTTATGATCATTATTTGATTAGTCCATCGTAGAGATTTTGCGGGATAGAGCATTTGTAATGTTTCATTGCTCTACACGGTGTCCGATTGAGTGGAGGAGTCTCGGCTAATAGGGAGACCAGACTTGGTAGCTCAAGTGAACTCTAAGAGTGGAAGATTTGAGCACAACTATTTTGAATGCAATCTGCGAATTTGAGCAGCCTGAATTTATACGTATTTTGTAGTCACTAGTGCGACGCAACGATCAGTATCGGTCACATATACATGTAATAAGGATTCAGACTCCCAAACAAACAAGATGGTTTTCATGCCCGCAGTTTGCAAAAGAGTGTGCAACAGCCTGCGACGGGCACTCGTTCTCTGTGTCATTTTTCGTATAGTATCCCTGCCCAGGGTTTTGCGTTTTCGGATTTGTGCGGTAAAGTATCGAAAGACACGAGGTGGTAGGTCTGCAGCAAATCCGGGACAAACTGTAAAATACATGGAGCTTTAGATTTCCGACTCCCACATTAAGTCGTATTCCTCGGTCTTTTCACTCTTTTATTCCATTAGTGCGTAGGCGCTGGCTTCTGCAATTTTAGCGTTGAATCGGAAATTTCAGTATATACAAAACGAAAAAGCAACAAAAGAATCATAGTCTTGCTCTGTAAAGGGTGCACCACCTTCGACAGCCTAGCTGTGCGGCGAAGCCGACCGCTACGAGCCACAGGAGAATGAATGATGCATCGCTCCGTTAGAAGTTGAAAAAAAAAGAAATACTGTAGCGAACAGGAGCTTTAGCCATAAATTAACGTTATCTGCAATCTTTTTTTTTTGTGCATGCCCTCCTGCTTTAAAAAGGTATTGCTGTGAACTAGTAGGTCATGTCGAACACAACTAAAAAATCTGCCCCCCCCCCCCCAAAAAAAAAAAAAAAGACAATCGTTAATGGGATACCAACAAGGTATTGATGCTCGTCAAGGTTTTTATCTGTACATGACATATGACAGCCAATCTACCAAGAACACAACTTGCTCTTCGACATTCCTTTTCTTCTCCTTGGTCACGTGCCGTTCTCTATTGTTTAGACACACACCAAATATAATCAAGGTCGTGTGTCGTCGAGGTACACACTCAATATTAAATCTAAAAAAAAAAAAAAAAAATATGACACTCATGTTTGGGGCTCCTAAAAGACTGCAAATACGTTCATAAAACAATAGTCGCACAGAGAACCGGAAGCACTCTGTGCATTCTCTGCGTTTTTCTTAACATGGATTCGTATCGCAAGAGTCGCGTGCCGGACGGCTTAACGAGGGGGACTGAGCGATGGCAGCGAACGACAGGGGCGGGACCTCTACTTCAGAACTGTTATTTGCGGTACTGGCGAATCGGTCTAGCTTCGAAAGAGAAATTGTTTACCAATCAAAGGAATGGGGATTTATTTCGTACGACACGCCCGACTACTAAGCTGATTCGCACGAAGGCGTCGTCGAATCGTCGACCGTCCTCCTGGCTGAAGACACCGCTTGTCTTACGAACACAAATTGGTAAGAGCTTGAGAACCGCGCAAACGCCGAAGTGCTTGACATTTGCGTTTTTCGTGCGACGTGCGACGTGGGAGTTTGTCGTCTGCTTCGTTTAAAGACATAAATCCTCTAACAATACCATTAACAACAAAGCGATTTAAACGTTTAAGGCTCTGGAGGAACCTTTTAACTAATATGAAGTGATGAAGAGATAAAAGTAACATTACTATTTCCAATGATCTGTGCATACATTCAAATGTGTATAGATATACAACAATAAAACTCGAGATTAAATAAAAGAGATGTGGGTCAATCTATCTCTACAAACGCACGCGCACACGCAAAGTTTCAGAGCATTATCATCAGCAACCAACTCACTTGTCTTCGTTTTTATGTAAGACGTCCGAAGTTAAGCGTTTTCACTACTGTCATTTGGCCAAAACCTTTGAAATAACACCATCACCGTGCTTTATCAGCGGATTGGTCAAGTTGAGGAGTACGATCAGGGAAACAAAAATCGAAGTAATATCGAAGACTAATAAAGACTATGAAATATAGAAACCTCAGAGAGCGTTGCAAAGAGCTCCGTGTGGTTCTTTAATATGACACGACAGCAGAAGGCACTAAGCTCAGCTCATGTATGCGAATTAGCTCGCAGAAAAAAACAGTAAAAGAAAGCCAATCGTTTCTCGGAGACAGCCCGAAAGTAAAGCGTACGGCGTTAGAGTCGAGTATCACTGCGCGACAGTCGATAAACTCAGCTCATCGACACTAAAACAACCGACTTGCAAACGACTACTAATAAATGCGCTTAGGGCGTACTGTACCTCCTCTTGCTGACGAACACGATTGTGTTGCCAATTGGCGATAAAAATGTGTTAAAATTTGGTACAATGTTTTTGTTCGTTTTATTTTTTGATGGTTGCAAAACGTATCCCTTGGCCTCTCTATTTTTAAAACAATTTTGGATGTAAGAACTTGATGGAAGAACAGGGTCGTTAACAGAACAAAGAAACGTCAGCAGACATGCTATTTTTCGTGAGCAACGAGGATTGCGTCATGGCGATTTAGCGCAAAAGGAAGGTGTTCACCAGGAGTGTATTCAGCATTAATAAATTGCAACCGTCTGGGCAAAAGACAACAACAACAAAAATTTGGACACAAAATTCGCAGATTCACTCGTCCACGCCGCGACGTGAGACGAATAAAATGTTCAGTAGGAATAGGCGAGCCTTCCTTTGCCGGAATGATAACTAATTGGAGGTATCCGCAAGGTTAATGGCGGCGATAACACGCGTATGCAAATGAGCGTGCCTTTGGGCGAGACAGAACGCCGTGAGCGGAATCTCCTTAGTATTCATGACTATCTCACCGAGCGTCTGGGCTCGGATGTCCTCGGCACAGCGACGAGCAAGAGGTTAACCGACGAGACGGCAAGTTGCGTCGGACTCGGAGCCGGACAGCGCTCCACTTACTGTTCTTGTTGGCGCTCCGCTACGTATTAACAGAGACCGCGTTAATGCTCCCACGTGCGTTTTGAGTTTCGAAAGATTTCGTTATATCTGAAGGCCGTATGTAGTTGAGAGAGAAATGTAGGTGCTTTGCTAAGATTTAAAAAAAAAGTGGGACAAAACAAAATGATTAGCCCATGACATGATATTGTCGAGTCGGCGTTTCCTCTTGAAACATAGCGGTCCCCCGAGCTCTTCTGGAACTTGGATACATTATTTTGCGTTGTTTCCAGCCGCGTTCTGCCCCCTAAAATATTGCATTACTAAAATAAGTTGTCCTTTAAAGATCAGATCTTGCTTTGAGAACAAAAGCTGAAAGGCCGAACTCCGCAAAATGTTCGTACATCGAAGCACAAAGCCACAACTAATGATTCTGGGCAGCGGATAATATTTCCCATACACTGTTTGTATAATAATTTGTAAGTACTATACCGTATACAATGCAAACACCAATTATCGATATTGAGCTACAAGCAAAACGGTGTTTGCCAGCGAGAGCATCAATCACACAGTGGTTATTAGGCAAGGAACTCGCCAGTACAAGAGGAACAAGCATGGGAGTTTAAAATTCCAGGCAATGCTATAATTGAGTGTAAGACAAGCAACTTGGAAAAAGAGCCAAAAGGGAGTAAGATCAGCAGCTTATTCCGTTTCGACTTCTTTTGAAGTGTAAGCCCTGCGATATGCTGTTATACGTAAAAATGAAGTAAGCTTACCTGCAACCATACTGCTTGTGATCGTCAGGAGTGTGACTGCCAGCGCTGCAAAGAGAAATAAAGAGAAAAATTTAGGCTTTCGGAAGGGGTATTAAAAAAAGAAAATAAAGAAAAACGGTGTTTAAGAAAGAACAGAAGGCCGTCGCGTACTACACTCTCTCCCAGAAACTAATTTTACTTATCCTATTGTCATCATATTTATCGCTCGTAGTGTGTATGTGTAAACTAGATATTCTAGTCCCGACACGTTAGACCAAGTGCGACATGCACTTGCAACACGTTCTTCCGAATACAGTCAACTCTGATCTAATTCTGCCAAGCGCAGACAATCGGTGAAGCAGGGGGGCTATGTTCAACAAATGTTTCGCTTCTCCTAAAAGCAAACAGAAGTGACGGAAGTGACGATATCGCGTCTAATTCGTTAGAGGCTCAAATAACGAAAGTTTCCTCTTTCGTCATTTTGAGCCTCTAACCAATCAGACGCGATATTGTCACTTCCGTCACTTCCGTTTCTTCTTAGGAGAAACGACACATTTGTTGAACATAGACCCCCTGGACACGGCAAGCACAGCGCGTAGATCAAAATGCGCGAGGAGATAAATCGATTGTTCCGCTTCTTTTTCGATGTTGTGTTTAGTGCGTTAGCATTAGAACGCTCGTTTTGACGAAAACCCAGCGGAGCCTATCAGCTTGCCAGCGCCGGGGAGAGGGAAAAAGGGAGAGAGAAGGGTGACGCGGTGGACGCTCCTGGTCCCAAGCGCTGACGTCAACACGCATCACCCTCTATCTTTCCCTTTTCCTCTCTGCCCGGCGCTGACAAACTGACAGACACCGCCGGGTTCTCGGCAAAACGACCGTTTTCGTTTTCGTCAAAGGAGCGTCGCACAGCTGGTGCGTAGCCAGAGAGGAGGAGGCGCTGCGGCGCAGTGGAATGCGGGCGTGCTCAATTGCCGCTCTGCCGTGGCCGGATGTTCTTCGCTCTGGGTTTCCGTAGTAGCGGTGCGTGGGCTGTGATGTGTGCGTGTAGTAAAACAATGAATCCGGTTCCCTGCACGAGTGGTATGAATGTGGTTCTTTCCACGGGTGCTATGAATGACCGTATCCAAGGGCGTCAACGTACTCTGACAGGCAGAGTACAGAAAAGGGGTGAAACGATTAAAGGAAGATCTATTAGTGGATCCTTAGGGAAGGCTTTAGCATGACCCTCGGGAAACGCCACACAAGTCTTCCTTTGGGAAACGCTAACACTGACCCCGTAACGAAGCCAAAAAGAGGAATAAAAAATAAAGGAAGCAAAAGACAAAGCCAAGAAAAGAGCCAAAACAGAAAAGTAAAGGGGTCAACGTTAACGCTTCCGAGAGGGGGACGTGCGTGGCGTTTCCCAAAGGTCATGCTAACGCATTCCCTAAGGATCCAACAATAGATTGATTTAATTTTTATTAATTAAACAAAGACAACTCAGTTCGGAATTTTATGCCGGAGTGAGTTGTAATTTTTAGAATGGCAATCCATCCTTTAGTACCCCTGTAGGACACGGCGTTCAAAGTGAACGAATCGATAACCCTTAATACTTGACAAAAGCTTAAAAAAAAAAAAAAAATGTCGTTGGGGCATTTTATTTTTACTCGTTTCAACTACTTCGTCTCGTGTTGCGATTCCCTTTTTATGTAGTTTGTTTCAAGGGGCCAATAAAGCGTATTTTGAATTTATAGTTGACTGTGAGTATTTGTTGATAATTTGCTGCCAGCACCATTTATGGCATCCAGAGGTGCACAACATGCAGCCCGCGGACATGACACTGCGAGATTTGCTCAAGACGGCAACCAGTGCGATGATGCCAGAAATTGAAAACCTATCTGTCTGATATTGAAAACCGGCGCAGTTACCAAGGGGCATTTTTTTTCGGCCCGCGTCATTTTTCAGTTGTGCACCCCTGGAACTTTATGCAATCATGCGTCCTAGCCGTGCTTTACAACGTAAGAAACCATCGAAACAAAGCTCAATCAGAGAAGTATCGGTGACGAAGTCCCCGAACAATAAAAGCTGAATGAACGCTGTCGTGGCGACACAGTCAAAATACGAAGGAAACAAATTATCTCCGGCACCAGTTTCTCAAATCCACATGTCATAAGTGCAAGCTCGCACTTTCTGCTATTGTAGAACTTCAATGACAGTCGCTCGACTGAGTCATCACAGTCGCCTGACGACAGATCGGGGAAGTGTAGGAGATCGTGTTTTCATAGAACTATATTAGTTACAGGAGCTTAGGGTCCCGCCACCTAACATTCTACGAAGCGCGCGCCTGGGGTTCCATATCGGTCAACGCGAGAACGAAATCTAATTTGCCTCTCAAGGAGAGAGCGAAGATGATGTTCGCAGACGCTTCATCTGCTTACGCGAGTGAAGAGCGGGGTTTATCTGCTACGAAGCATCATGGGCAGACGAAAACAAAGCAAGAAAATACCGCATGCCGTCCGCTAATAAAGCAAAAAAAAAAAAAAAAAGGTGGATCGCCTGCTACGAACAAAGTACCACGGAGAAGTACGATCAGACGACAGCTGAAAATGTGATCATTTGCTATTTCACGTTAGAAGCGATCAACAACTCGTGTTTCCTTTGCATATGCCAAGTAGTTTTGCTGCCGTGCGCAAGCTGACATCGACCGGTGGATGAAAGAGCACTTAGTATAAGCAAAGGGACAGCGAGACCTCTCTTGCCATTTGTGTGCTGGCGAGACGTTCTCACAAAAATACTGACGGATCGTTAACTCGTGATCGAGTTCAGATTTTCTCATTGGGCGATTATAACCGCGCCCAGCAGAGAGCTGCGACGCTTCTTCCAATCAGCAGCCGAGAATGCTCTCGCTCTTCTCTGTATCAACATCAGACCCCTGGAACGGTATCGGACATTCGAAAACAATTTTCTGAAACACCCTAGTGTCTCGTATGAAAACATTGCATGCACCGTTTAAATAAACAGCTTGTGCAAAGTTAACGTTATTATAATTTCAATAAATCTACAATTTAAGCGTGCCTTAATTTTTAAGCTGACTCAGTCGACTAGTGTCCGTTGTCATTTAAATGTAGCGGTTTACTTTGAATTTCCCCACCTCAAAATATTTTGCCAGTAATACAAAGCTGATGGACCCAGACATCAACGGGGCAAAGATTTTAAATGACTAAAATATCAGACTGATCAAACTGACGCATCCTAGCTTTGTTTAGCGCGCGCAACACCTTCGCAAAGACTCTACAGCGAGACAATCTTCCGACATCAAAAGGAGCGCCCAAAAATTTTCCGAGTTATCTTGGAGACAATGGCAGTGGTGCGCCACTTTCAGCAGAGTCTCGGTCGGTTCGACTCGCAACATCATTAGAACAGAAAGGCGGCGAAGGAAGATTCTCCTTTTGTACGGTCGGTTCCGCTTCCTGGAGTCCTATTTTAGGAAGCGGTCGCATCAGCTCGAATCGCCGCGCTCTTCTTTGTTAAGGGAGCGAGGGTGGGGTTTGTGTTTGCCGCTCGTGTTCCCCGAGACGACGGGCCTGTCGTGTTGCCCGACTTCTGACACCACAAAGCGCCAGCCGCTCTTCCGTCGTTGCCAGCTCAGCGAGCGCTGCAGTCGAAAGCAAGAGGCCTGAGGTTTTCCGGCTTTTTTTTTTTTGTGGTTATTTCCAAGATATTAATCCTACGAGGAATTGTAGTTGTACATTTGGAACGTCTTTGTTCCTCGCATATTTAGGTAGTCCTGAATATCTGCTACCACCAACATTGTGTCGTAGTGTATTTAATTCTGTAGAATATAGCCCTGCACAATGCACTTTTAAAATGTGTTACATGTTGCACAAACAAACTAGGTGCTGACGGCCTCTGTGGAGGTATGCCTAGCTAGTTCTTCTCCGTCAAAGATCGTGTAAGTTTTATAAAATATTCGGATACTATCTCCGCACTTAATTATATTAGGTATAATGTGATTTTAGTTTTATTTCGCATAAAAGACAAATCTCCTGAGCCTGTATTTTTTGGCACTTAATTCACTGATGTTCGCAATAAGCCATTCTATGAAAACTTATTTTTTAGCACGGCACCGTCTTTTATTTTTTTTTATTTGGCTATTATACCGTGATTCATGCGAAACAGCATGTCTTTTTCGGCTTTGTTAAGTAATCATTAAGCGTGCTCTCGTCCATTGTTATTTGCTGAAACTCCTTCAGCTGCCTTTTGTTAACAGATTTCCCGCCTATTCTTTGCCACTACTGCCGTTCCTCAAATCGTAATAATTTGTTCAGGAAATACGATATTTCGGAAGGCGTGGAATTGTGGCAGGCAGGCGAAGAATGTCGCCACCCTTCAGCGAATATCCCGTTGTAAACTGATAAGGCGGAGCAGTTCCAGCTCTATGGGACAATCGGAACATGAACCACATTTTAAGGCATGTTATCAAATACTCCCCAAATCGGTACTCCGCCAGTGCGTGCATCAGCGCCCGTCCGTCGGGCTTTCGTTAATTCGTTTCATCTCCAGTTTCGCATCGATTTTCGCATTGTCACAGGCGCGCAACAGCCGCCCAGCTTCGCGAAAATTCCGGAACATGGACTCAAGTTGCTCGATCGATGGGAATGGTTGAACTGGTTCCACATCATCTTTGTCTGCAGAGGTCCACGTAATCTGATGCCAGCTAGAGTTCTTCGATTCCTGCTATTTCCATTTCTCAACCTCGACAATTCGCCTAGATTCCGCGATTCCCTCTCTCGCACATTGTTCTGCCTTAAGTTAAGTAATTCAACCCCGGTCAACTGACTTCACAAAATATAAATCATATGTTTACCGAAAAGAAAATGAGACTTCCGTTGTTCGGGACTATAGCATGCATCGCTCCAGATCAAGGTGGCCTACTTATATGTGAAATAACACAACGGTCGGCGGTAGAGTGGCTAACTTACTACTTAAGTATAACAAATAATGAAAAACTAAATCAGCACATGTATTAGCAGCAGCCGCGTACTCCACAAAATTAGGAGCTTATACTAGAACACGGGAGGAGAACA